CTACTGGGGAATAGAGCATGCACACAAATAGGTGAGCGAAAAAGAGAAAATAATTTCAAGAGGAAGGAAACAATAACAGCCAGGGAGCAGAGCATGAAAGCCTCAAATGGGAGGTGATACCTGAGTCGTGCTTGAAGGAAGACTGGGATTCTGAGGTGTGGCAGAGAAGAATGGCATTGTAGTCATGGGAGCCAACCTAGGTAGTAGCACAGAGGACTGACTAAAATGAAGAGTATGTGGTCAGGTCCCATCTGGGATGTTGTGGGACATTTTAGGTGCCACGTTGAGAATGTTGACCGGCTAGAGACTGACCAGAGGAGAGCAACTGTGGCATTAGGATAGTGCAATATGGGAAATAGTTGAAGAACCTGAGGAAAACTGGGATAGAGGAATTGGAAAGAATACTGGATTCTGCATCAGAAGACTTGGGTTCTACTCCTGGTTCATGTGCTTACCACCTTGTAGCTTTGAGCAAATCCCTTAACCTTGTACCTCAGTTTCCTCATCTGTCAAATGAGATTGTTCTACTATAAAGCCCCAAGGTTCCTTCCAACTCTGAATCTATGATAGTAAGGATTTCTAGGGTGGTCACATGGAAGAAAGATCAGAACTGTTGTGTTTAACCACACCCAGGGCAGAGCTATAATAATAATGATGATAAAAATGATGATAGCTAGCATTTATACAGTGCTTTAAGTTTTGCAAAGCATTTTTACTTAGATTATCTCTACCACCCTGGGAAATAGGTGCTATTATCATCCTATTTTACAAACGAGAAAACTGAGACACTGAGAGGTTAAGTGACTTGCCCAAAGTCATACAGCTAGTAAGTGCCTGAGGTCTTTCTCAGGTCTTTCTGACTCCAAGTCCTTCACTCTAATCTCTAATGAAGAGAGATGCATGCCAAAGTCAACCTCTCTATGTGTACCCTTGATCCTATCCCCTCCCATCTTTTCCACCAGATCATCTCGACTCTTACTGTCTCTCTGTCTCTCTTCCCCTCCTCCCCTCTCTCTCACCTTTAATCTCTCCTCGTTGACTGGCTCCTTCTCTGCTGCCTACAAATACACTCAAGTCTCCCCATCCCTAAAAAAAAAAAATCTCATTAGATCCCACAATATCACTTCCTATAATCCTCTGCCTTTACCCATTCTTCTCTGCTAAATTCCTTTCTAAAAGCTGTCTGTACTTGGTGCCACTTTCTCTCCTTCCCCTCTTCTAAATTGTCTGCAGTATGGATTCTGACCTAATCACTCAACTGAAACCACTTGCCCTGAAGTTAACGATGGTCTCTTAATTACTCAGTCTACTGGCCTTTTCTCAATCCTCAACTTCCTTTACTTCTCTCCAGCATTTGACACTGTTGACTACCTTCTAGATATTCTCTCCTGTTCCTCCCCACAATCCATCTCTCTCTCTCTCTCTCTCTCTCTCTCTCTCTCTCTCTCTCTCTCTCTCTCTCTCTCTCTCTCTCTCTCTCTCTCTCTCTCTCTCTCTCACCTTCTCCCTCCTCTTCCTCCTAACTCTCTCCCCAGTCTACTTTTCTGAATCTTCATTCACAATTTGCTCCCACTGAATATAGATGTTAGGTGTCCCCCAAGTCTCACTCCTGGGCTTCATCCCTTTTTTCTCTATACTCTCACTTGTTGATCTTATTAGCTCCCATAGGTTTAATGATCATCTCTCTGCAAATGATTCACAGATTTACATATCCAGCCATAGTTTCTCTCCTGAGCCACAGTCCTAAATCACCAAATGCCTTTTAGATCTTTAGAAAAAGACATCCTCTTATTCAGCCAGCAAGAGCTGCAATCTGCACTTGTGGAAGGAGTTCCCCCACTGATAGAATCTGAAGTCCTCCACATATTAATGTTATGATACTGTGACAGCCCTTAGGGCTGCCGCAAACTATAAGTCACACTCCAAGAAAACCACCACCCAGAAGCTGGAACAGAAGAGCTCTCTGAAAAGCTGACAGAAACATTCTTCATCTCTGGGGAAGGAAGTTATGATAAAGTTATTCAACCCGAGGGAAGCTATAGATCTGGAAAGGAAAGGCCAAGCAGCATCTAGATTCTAGTTATTGCCAAAATGTGCCTCTGAAAGTACAGTGGCCACAGGGCCTGAGTTTGTCAAGAAGACCCTAACATAGACCTCCAGGGGAGGTAAGATACCAGTGCCTACCACTGGTCAACCATTGAGGTGTTTCACTCCCAGATCATGTGCAGGCTCTTGGAAATGGCCTGTCTCCTATGGAGAAGAGTTCAGCTAACAGGTTTAGGCACAACTTTGTTTATTTCATTAGTAATTGATTGATGTAGTCAAAACTGTCATCCAAGCAATAACCTACAGAGGATTTCCTCCCGGTTGCTGAGATGAGCCCTCTGAATCTGGAGAGGAAGTAGAAGCAGGGGAGCATTTTTAAAGTTTTTTTTCAAGCCAGGTAACCAAAGCATTCACTAGTCTCCATCATATTTTTCTTTCTCCTGTCCCCCTCTTCTTCCCACCCTCTCCTCCCTCTGCCTCCTTCCTCCTCATTCCATCTCTCCCACACACAGCCTATACACCCCACACCAAAAAAGAGGCACAAGAATTTGCTCCTGATCCAGAGGACCAAGGGTCTGGACACTAAACATTGCTACAAAAAGGCTAGGTAGCTGGGTTCTGTATTGTACCCTGAAAAAGTCAAATGTGGGGTTGAGTGAAAGCAGTGTGCCTTCCTGGTTTGGGACTAGAGGGGTGAGAGAGGCAGCCTACTGTCTTGTCTGATTCCTGCTTAGAACTCATATCAGCAAGGCCAAGCAGTTAGTCATGGGACTGGATAACTTCTATTTGCTAACAAGTCCAAGCCATCCCCACCCCCAATCCATTGAAGTCAGACTCCTTGCATCACAGAGGAAAGAGTCAGATGCTGTCATACAAAACCATTCATTCCCAGGCACTTTTTGCTCAACTGAGAAATAAAGAAAACCTCAGGAACCCAGAACCTGTGGAATCATCAGCCAGGAAGGGGGGCTTAGAAATCTTCAAGCCCATCTACCACTTAAAGATGAGGAAACTGAGGCCAAGAATGGACTTGGAGCTACTGGAAGACCCATATGTAGGACCTGTTGCAAAAAAATAGCATTTCAACAGGGAGCTGTGGGCATTTTGCCATCTGAGTAGAAATCTGTGTTTCCACAGTGATCAGAAAGAACAGATAAAAATAAATAAATAAATAAATAAAAATAGATAAATAGATAAATGAAAGCCATTTACAATGTGTATCTGGCTAGGGCCCAGGGTGTTTCCAAGACACTGCTGTGTTCCAGCCTCGCTGGCTTAACCAGTCTGGTGGAGCCCAAGCTGGAGCTGCAGCGTTGCAAGGGTTTTTTTTGCTGTGGAAGACCTCTTTAATATGGCTGGATTGTAATACTGCAGTGCTAAGGCTCTCCGGCAATAAAAAAAAAAAATACCCGGCTCAGGCACCCAACTTCGGGGTGCTGGAAATACATCTGGCTGCTTTGCACCCTTCCAGAAGTGCTGTTTCTAATAAGATTGGCTCCAAATAAGAGCCCGGTCCCGTTCCACCTCCACTCCCAAGGCTTCTGGGGCAGTAAAGCAGGTGCAGCCCCCATTTTCCTACCAGCAGCCTTGCAAGGAAGGGGCCCACTGCATGGGAAGAGACCTTTTGAGGTATGTCTAGGAAGGAAATTGGGGGACTGAAGATGACACACCTCTCTGCTAAGCCTCGCCTCGATTTTCAGCTCAGTACTTGTAACTCACAGTGATGCTTAATCCAAAGGAATCATTTTATTACGAATAATTAATCCACTGAACTCCCCCTCCATCCCAAGCTACCCCCCCCAAGAGCTCCTGGAAAGCACTGACCAGATATCCCTCAGTGACAGCTCAGAAAATTCGGGTGCCCACCCAACCAACCTTCTAGTCAAATCTCAAGAAGCCAATGCATAACGGTCTCCCTGCAAGGTTAAGCCTAATTGGTCACTAACCTAATTGATTAATCATCTAATTTCCTAGGAGGCATCAAGATACAGACTGAGGGGTGGGGATATGCCTGAAGACCGCATTTCAGAGGGGGGAATGGGAAAGAGTTCCCTGCACACAAGCAGGCAGCTTTGGCTGCAGCTTTCTCTGCCCACATGTTCATCTCAGGAAGGAGGGGATGGGGCTGACTAGAGCCAAGGATCAGAGCACTGAGAGAATCACCGAGTCGTGCCTCGATTTCCCCCCCCCCCCAGGCGAGGCTCAAATCCCAGGGAAGTTGCTCTCCTCCGGCCCTGGAAGGGTTACTCAGCTCCTCCAGGCAGATCAGGGAGCTTTCTCCCGCTCCCCCCGCCGTGGGACTCAGGGTCTGGCTCCCTAGCGCTCCCTTGATTCCCCCCCACCTCGGCGTAAAGACCAACGCCGGTCCAAGCCCCGATTCTCAGCTCCGACTGGCTAGGACAGGCAGCTCTGGACAAGAACGCATTTGGCCTGGCCGAAAGGGGCTCCGTAGCCACCAGGCAGCTTCGCTGATAGCCTTCGGAGTCGGAAACAAAACTTTACCTTCAAGTGCCGCAGCCAAGCATCTCCCCCATCGCCCACCCCCTGCCCCTGAGTGGCGCTCGGTCCAGTCATCGAGCGCGGCACCCATCCCTCCCTAGGCTGCAGACGCCAGTCTGGGAGGGGGGCTGCTCCAACCCCCCCTTCACCACCAACACCACCCCTCTCTCTCTCGCTCTCATTTCTTGGCAGCCTCCACCCGCCCATCTCCGCTTCTGAAGCCTTCACCCGAGACGCCGGGGGGCTCCCCCGCGCCTTTGCCAGGCAGCCCGGGAGAGCAGGGTGCCCAGAACCCAGATGGGGCAAGATAAATCCCATAGCGGAGGGAGCGGGGAGGAGTGAGGTCTGAGGAAAGGGGTTCTGGGGAAGGGGCACGTCCCCCCACCTCCAGGCTGCCCCAGGCTCCCAGCCCTCAGTCCCTCAATCCGGCCCGCTTCCCACCTCCGCCCTCCTACCTTCAGCCGGCACTGCGCTCGCTGCTCCAGCCTCACTCCACTCATCCTCTTGTTGCAGGGGCAGAAGGAGGGAGGGACTGCCCAGCTCTCTCCAGTCCCCCCAGACGCTTAGTTCATGCCGGGCTGGGATTTTGGAGGGGGTCTAAGGATCTCTCTCTTGCCCCTTTCCAGGGGCTGGGCGTCCGAGGGGAGGCACGCTGGTCCCTCCAGAAGGAAGACTTGGGCACGGAGTCTAAGCTCAGAATATCCTCAACAGTTTCTGCTCTTCCCTCCCCGAGTGCAGCAGCTAGAGCTACAGCTACAGCTACTCAGAGACAGCTGAGGCAGCGGCAGCGGCAGCACCAGCAGCCGCGGAGACAGAGCGGCCGAGCTCCGCAGGCCACATCTCTCATACGGTATACATCACTACCGCATTCCCCCGAATAGGAGAGCCCCTCAGCATTTCGTCAGCCAGCTGGCGCAAGACGTGGGCTCCCGGGCTGGGCGCGCTCCCAGCGCGGATCAGGCCCACCCCAGGCTCGCCAGAGAGGCAAGGGCGAGTCAGGAAGCAGCTGCTGCTCCGGGAGCTAGGTGGGCCCGTGGACCATGGGAGAAATACCTTTTACGTGGGAGTTCTGAGCCCCACACCCCCCGGGTCTGGTCACAGCCTAAGGAGGCTTTGGCCTTTGGGCGCCGAGACCCTGGAGAAGTATAAGTGCTGGGATAGCTTCTCTAAAAGCCCCAGAGGTTCTCCAGATGTCAGCCCACTCCTTCAGGGAAAATAGTGCGGACTGAATCAAAGGCCATGAGCTGAAATGTGGCCTCTCGTGCTTACCACCTGTGTGAGCCTCAGTTTCATCATCTGTCAAATGAGACCAGGTAGACTCTGAGGTCTCTTGCCCTAGAATATCTATAGCAATGGACTGAAAGTCGGAAACACCGAGGTTCAACTCTGCCTCGGAGGCTTAATGACCCTGAGCAAATCAAGAAGCAAGGATTAAGTGATTGCTAACTGGCTGGCGCTGTGCTGAGCCTGGGACTGCAAATATGAAAAGAAAAAAACAACCACAATTCCTGCCCTGAAAGAGTTTAAAGGAGTCACAACCCCTCTGGGCCTCAGTTTCTTTATCTGTAATATGAGGGGAGTGGCCTTTGAGGTCCTTTCCAACTCTAGTGATGATCGTATGATTCCTAGCCAACCTGACCCCCCCCCAAAAAAAGGACATAAAATGTTATGATATAAGACTCTTAATTCATTTCAGAGAGAGTAATTCCAGGTGACTGCAGGTGTTCAATTGTGTCCTACTCTGCGACCCCATTTGGGGTTGTCTTTACCAGAGTGGTTTACCATTTCCTTTTCTACTCATTTTACAGATGAGGAAACTGAGGCAAACAAGGTTAAGTGACTTGCCAAGGGTCACACAGCTAGTAAGTGTCTGAGGTCTTCCTGACTCCAGACCCAGAACTCTATCCACTTGACCACCCAGCTACTTATTGATTTTGGGTAGGAAAGCTTATTAAAGACTTTGTATTCTTAACTTTTTGCATTCTACCTCAGTACCGATGACATGGCCTTAAACATGGTAGATGCTCAAACTTCTCTTGACTGATTAGATTCACAATAATTTTTAGATTGATCCAGAAGGGGATTTTAACAGAGAATATTAAAACAAAATGTGAAATGCCAGAGTTGGAAGCCACCTTACAATAAGTATAATAGCTCATTCATATGGAACTTTAAGGTTGCAAAGAATGGTGCAGTGAATAAAGAGATGGTCTTTAACATGAGAAGACCTGGGTTCATGCCCCAGGTATGAACCATAGTGCTGTGTGACCCTAGACAAGTGGCTTAGCCTCTCTAATATCTCATTCCTCTCCAGGATGAACTCCATACTTCCTCTACTATAACATAGCTCTGTTTATAAATAATGACCCAGTTTGCTTCATAAAGATCACTCTTGACTTTGACAATACCTCTTGACTGTCCTTATCTTGGTAGCTTACTTCAATCCAAGAATTCACACATTTGTGGTATCCTCTGCCCTACTGACTCTCTTTCTGAATGGATGGCTCCTACCAGAACCTCCATTTAAGGAGGGAATCCAGGCCAGCTATGTCTTCATTCCCCTCCAGGCTGCAACCTCAACTTTCTCTACAATGCCATGGTACTATGTACCTTCATCCTTTTATATGTTGTCTTCTTTCAGAATGTAAGCTGCTTGAGGGCAGGGATTATCTTTGTTTCTGCTTGTATTTGTATTCCTACACAAATGTACCTTGATTTATACACTGACTGATTTACCAGTTCCAAGACTCTACGACTATAAATTTCAGAGAACATGCCAATCTGCATTCAGAGAGGGAGTTCCCTCATTCAGGGAGTTCCTTAAACCAATGAATCATAGGTCCAAACTCTATCCTATATATCTCCTCATTTCATCCTCACAACAATCCCTGTTATCATCCTCACTTTACAGATATGGAAACTGAGGATGACAGAGATTACTGCTTGACTGGGGTCACACTTAGTTAAATGTCAGAAGCCAGATTTGAAGGCAGGTCTCCCTGCTGCCAAGTCTAGCATTCTAGCTACTGTGCTATGATGTCTCTCAAAACGTAAAATGATAGATCATAGAATATGAAATGGCTAAGTCTTAGAATAGAGGATGTTAGAGGTGGGATCCATGGTGTTGAAACTGAGCAAACTTGTGTGATTGATGGAAAGTTGGCTTTGCATCTAGTCAATATCCTCAGGAAAATGGAGGAGTCTGGGGAAGAAAAGCATTGCTAGGGTAAGTATGTGCTTGTGTCATCATAAAGGACAAAGCATAAAAAACTCATTGAACATAAATGCTCACTTATTTTATTAGCAACAATTGTTACCCCAGACATAGCCCTGGAATCAATATAAGAGAAGCAACTGTCTGTCCACCTCGATCTCCCCCATACCCCATTCTCTGAGCAAGCAGACAGTATCAGTGGGATATCCCAAGAGTAATACACTGAACCTGGGGTAAAATATAAGTTCCATGAGGGCAGAAACAGTATTTTTTAATCCTTGTATCTCCAGTGCCTAACATAGTGTCTAAAGCATAAAAGGTACATAAGACATGGTTGTTGAACTGTTTAACTGAATTGAACTTGAGACATAGTTAACAAGTTGTCATGGAAATAGCAGAAAGAGAAAGCAGAAGCCCTTGAAATCAGAAAAGACCTGATTTGGAATCCCAACTCAAACACTTACAGGCTGTGTGGTCATAGGCAACTCAAGCCCTTGTTGCTTGATTTAGAAAATAAGTGTAATTAATGTGATCACAAAATTTAGACTTTGATGGGATGGTGGAGGGGGAGAGAAGGGGCATATCAAGTCCAAGTTATTTCTGAAAGTAACTGCACAGTAACATACTCCAGAAGTGGGATGTCCACATCTTCTAGAGGACCTCCAAGGAGGGGAAACCAAGGCAGCCCCTTCTACTTTGGGACAGCTCTCATTGGGAGGGACTTCTTCCTGCCTTCCAGCCTCAACTGGCCTCTTGGCGACTTCCACCTTTTGCTCCCAACTCCAGCCTTCGGAGACAAGTGAAACAAGCCAACCCTTCTGTCACACAACGCTCTTTCAAACAGTAATAGCTAACATTTACATAGCACCTAAAGGTTTGCAAATCACTTTATAGATGTTCTTTCACTTAAAACTTAGAGTTGGGTGCAGTTAGTATCCATATTTTACAGACAAAAGCAAGGCTAAAAAAGAGGATCATCTAGCTAGTAAATGTCAGAGACAGTATTCAAATTCAGGGCTTCCTGCCTCCAAATACAGCACACTATCCCCCATACCACCTTGCTATCTCTTTAACAAATCAGTCACGTCTCTCCTGAATATTCTTTTGCACAGGCTAAACATCCCCAATTCCTCCAACTGATTTTCGTGTGGTATAGATACATGATTTTTTGGAGTAGCCATCTAGACCAGTGATTTCATCAATGTCTGGGACTTCTAAGGAAGTTTGATCTACCAGTGCCAATAGTTTTATCTCTTCTTTAACTAAGAGTCTTTGAAAGTTGTCTGAGTCATACAGCTAGTAGATATCTGTGCCTAGATTTGAATGGAGATCTCCTTTCTCCAAAACCAGCCTTCCTTCCTCTATGCCAACTTTTCATCTTCTCAGAATCACTGTTTGCACCCTCCTTATCCCCAGTGGGCAGCTATTAACAGAAAGATCAATCAATATACATAGATTTATTGAACACCTACTATGTGCTAAGTGTTGGGGATGGAAAAAAAAAGACATTCCTTGCCTTTAAGAGAATGCAGAGAGAGGTATAACCAACCTTCCCCCCCCCCAAGTGGAGAAGAATGAGACAAAACTGGCATCAGAGTGCCTCTAGTTTTCCCCTTTCATATCAATGCCACTGAGGCCCATTTTGCTCTAGAAACTAGACCATTCACAGGATCATAGAATCACAGATCTATAGCTGGAAGGAACTTCAGAAGCTCTCTGGTCCAACCCTTTCATTTTACAAATGAGGAAACTGAGGCTCAGAGAATCACAAGGTCATACAGGTAATAAGAGATAGAGTCAGGTTTTGAACCCAGGTCTCTCAATGCTAGAACAAGTATTCTCTCCACATTCTATTCAACAAACATTTATTAATCACCTACTATGTATCAGCCACTGGCCCCATATATGTAAACAATGTGTTACATACTAGAGTTACAAAGACAATCCACTGTGTTTTATTTAGGGCCTACTATGTGCCTGACACTGTGTTAGAATACAAAGACAGAAATGAACAATACCTGCCCTTAAGGAGTTTACATCCCCTAGGAGGGAAATAACCAATGTCCAGATAAGTAAAGATATAATGTAGAAAAAATGATTGACATAGTGGAGACAGAGCTGTCAGAATAACCATGAAAAGTCTTGTGTGGGTGGGGCTGCCCAAGCTTAGCCTTGAGGAGAAGGGCAGGTTCTAGGAGACACTGTTGAAGAAGGTCATTCCAGACCACCCCTCCCTCCCTCTTAGGAGGAAGATCATTCCAGACCATCAGTGCCAGGGGGTTTGGTGGTCACTGGGCCACTAGAACAGATGGGGATTTTTCTCCCTAAGGCAATGCTAATGCTGGCACATATGGGTGAGGACTTGGCACATCTGATTTGTGAAATCCATCTAACAGTGCCCCCAGCATCCCTAGGGAGAGGCTCATGTTCCCAATGCGGATCCTTAGATGTGTATTCCCTCTCCATCATCCTGATGAAGCCTGTGTGTTTGTTTTTCACTGTTGCTGCATTTGGGGGTTTATTTTTAATAGAAGGAAGGCCTGGTCAATCCCTCACCCCATCTGGT